GTTGTCATTTACTGGTGTCTTTCTTCTGGTCATCACAAAAGAAGATACACTGAAGAATGCTAAAAAAGAAAACCTATAGTATGGATGTTAATGTCTGTTTTTCCTCCCCAACATTCTTCACAATATCTTCTTTTGTGTTCAGCAGAAGAAAGAAATTACTAAGCGTTTGGAACTTGCGTGTGAGTGTTTATGCTATGTTTTTTTTTCTGCTAGTATGGTCCTGGTAATTTTCACATTCAATCCATCTCAGCATTGCACTGTGCCATTGTATTTCCCCCTGTGCTCAGATTTTATGTTTGTTAAAGTTATAGTTCACCCTGAAATTTAATTTTACTGACCCTCAAGTGTTTCCAAACCTTTGAATTCCTTTCTTCTGTTGAACACTAAAAGAAGATATTTTGAGCAATGCTGAAAACTGGTAACATTCCTCAAAATATATTCTTTAATGTTTATCAGAAGAATGAAAATCATAAAGTGTTAAAACAAGGGTGAGTAAATGATGACCGAATTTTAATTTTTGTGTGAACTGTCCCTTTAAGAGAGTACACGGTTATTTCTACTGGAAAGCGAGACAGAAATACAGAGTGGGAAGTTGAGTTTTGCCTTTATTAGTCATAGTACGTTACTCCAATTTTAAATAAGCTGGTTTAGGGATGAACTGTTTATAAGCTTTGAGTTAAACATGCTACCTGTAGAAAACTAAAATACAGTGTGTCAGACATGCACACCACAATCACTGCACTCCTTAAAGAGACAGTTCACTCCAAAATAAAATTGTCATCATTTACTGGTGTCTTTCTTCTGTTAAACACAAAGGAAGATACACTGACGAATGCTGAAAAGATAACAGCCATTGGCTTCCATAGTATTGTTTAGATTCTACTATGGATGTTAATGTCTGTTTTCCCTCCTCAACATTCTTCACAATATCTTCTTTTGTGTTCAACAGAAGGTAACTGAGCAAAATTGGGTTTAATGTTATATATAAATGTGAAATCTGCATTCATCAGACATTTTTATAAGTGTTTCTGCTCATTTTTCTGCTCATTATGTGCTATTACGGTCCTGGTTATCAGATCACGAGAGAAAGATATTGCTTTGCCTTAATTTTCACATTTAATCCATCTCAGCATTGCACTGTGCCGTTACTGAATACTGAAGAATTGATTTTTTTTTTATCTGACTATAGATGTCAACATTTGTTTTTCCACCTCAACATTCTTCAGAATATCTTCTTTTGTGTTCAACAGAAGACATTGATAAAGGTTTTGAACCAGTAAATGAAATGTATATTTTTGGGTGAACTGCCCCTTTAACTGTGCAAAATTGGGTTAAAAATGTATTTAAAATGTGAAATCTGCATTCATCAGACATTTTTATAATTCTTTATGCTCATTTTGTGCTAGTACGGTCCTGGTTATCAGATCACGAGAGAAAGATATTGCTTTGCCTGAAGTTTCACATTTAATCCATCTCAGCATTGCACTGTGCCGTTGCATTTCACCCTGTGCTCAGATTTAATGCTTGTTAAAGTTATAGTTCACCCTAAAATTTAACTTTATTGACCATCAAGTGTTTCCAAACCTCAGAGTTTTTTTCTTCTGTTGAACACTAAAGAAGATATTTTGAAGAATGCTGAAAACCGCTAACCTAATTTACTCTAATTAAGCTGGTTTAGGCATCAATTGTTTATAAGTTTTGAGTTAAAAATGTTCCTTGTAAAAAATCTGACATGTGCACACCACACTTTTACCACTTTACAATCACTGCACTGCTAAATGGACAGTTCACCCAAAAATATAATTCTGTCTTCATTTACTAGTGTGTTTCTTCTGTTGAACACTAAAAAGGATATTTTGAAAAATGCAGAAAACTATTATCCATTGACTATCTTTTTTAAAACAGGTTTGAAACCAGTAAAGAGTGAGTAAATGATGTCTTCGGGTGAACTGTCCCTTTAAGAATGAATGAATATGTGAGACAGAAATACAGAGTGGGAAATTAAGTTTTGCATTCATTAGTCTCTAATTTACTCTAATTGTAAATAAGCTGGTTTAGGGATAAACTGTTTATAAACTTTGAGTTAAAAATTTTCCCTGTAGCAGAAATAGTTTGTCAGACATGGACACCACACTTAAACCATTTTACAATCACTGCACTGCTTAAAGGGACAGTTTACCCAAAAATACAATGCTCTCATCATTTACTTGTCTTTCTTCTGTTGAACACCAGGATTTTGTGTTTTATCCTGCTATGGATGTCAACATCTGTTTTTCCTGCTCAACATTCTTCAGAATATCTTCTTTTGTGTTCAACAGAGGAAAGACATTGATAAAGGTTTTAATCCACTTGTGAGTGAATGAAATATATATTTTTTTGGGAGAACTGCCCCTTTAACTGTGCATAATTGGGTTTAAAAATAATATACCGTAAAATCTGCATTCATCATGCATCTTTATAATTTTTTATGCTCATTTTACATGTTTTTTCTGCTAGTACGGTTACGAGAGACGAAGATATTGCTTTGCCTGAAGTTTCACATTTAATCCATCTCAGCATTGCACTGTGCCGTTGCATTTCACCCTGTGCTCAGATTTATTTAAGGTACAGTTCACCCAAAATTGCAATTTTACTGACCTTTGAGTGTTTCCAGACCTTTACTAAGTTAAAAAAAGTTATTTTGGAAAATGTTGGAAACCTGTAGCCATTGACTTTCTTAGTAGAAAAACAAATACAATGGCAGTCAATGGTTACCGGTTTTCAGCATTCTTCAAAATATCTTCTTTTAGTGTTCAACAGAAGAATGATACAAGTAAAGGGAGAGTAAATGATGAACGATTTTTCATTTTTGTGTGAACTGTCCCTTTAAGAGAATATATGGTTGTTTCTACTGGAGAGCGAGACACAAATACAGAGTGGGAAATTTAGTTTTGCCATTATTAGTCACTAATTTACTCTAATTGTAAATCAGCTGGTTTAGGGATAAACTGTTTATAAACTTTGAGTTAAAAATGTTTCTTGTAAAAAATCTGACATGTGCACACCACACTTATACCACTTTACAATCACTGCACTTCTTAAAGGGACAGCTCACCTCAAAATAAAACTCATCATTTACTAGTGTCTTCTGTTGAACCCAAAGAAATTATTTTGTTTAATCCTGCTATGGATGTCAAGGTTTTTTTCCTCATCAACATTCTTCACAATATCTTCTTTTGTGTTCAACAGAAGACATTGATAAAGGTTTTGAACCACTTGTAAGTAAATGAAATGTATATTTTTGGGTGAACTGCTTCTTTAACTGTGCAAAATTGGGTTTAAAATAATATAATGTGAAATCTGCATTCATCAGACATATTTATAATTCCTTATGCTCATTTTACATGTTTTTTCTGCTAGCACGGTCCTGGTTATCAGATTAAGAGAGACTAAGATATTGCTTTGCCTGAAGTTTCACATTTAATCCATCTCAGCATTGCACTGTGCCGTTGCATTTCCCCCTGTGCTCAGATTTTATGTATATTAAAGTTATAGTTCATCCAGAAATGAATTTACACACCCTTAAGTGATTCCAAACCTTTATGAGTGTCTATCTTCTGTTAAACTCGATAAGAAGTTATTTTGAAGAATGCTGATAACCTGTAACAATTGACTTCTATAGTAGGAAAAACAAATACTATGGAAGTCAATGGTTACCGGTTTGCAACATTCTTCAAAGTATCTTCTTTCATGTTCAACAGATGAAAGAAACTCTGGAGAAACAGGATGGGAGAGTAAATGATAACTTTTTGTTTTTGTTTTTTGGTGAACTATAACTTTAATCATGCACTATTGTGATGGAAAACCCCATCAAACATCTACTAACCTTCAATGGAGTGACTGAGAGGAGTTATGTTGGGTTATTCTGTTTTAATGGGTCATCTGTTATTTCCTTTCTCTGGTTTATATATGAGGGTAGCTTTATATTATCTACCAGAAACATTGTACTGTTGTTTCTGAGTTTGAAACTCACTGTTCACACATTGTCGTCCTGTTCAAGGGATTTTGTCTGATGAATGTGACAGATGTGAATAAAATAAAAGGTTTTAATTTGTGAATGTTTTGAGATGTTTACATTACTCACAGTATTATGCTGCAATAATACTTTTCTTAAAAGTTTTAGTCTTGTTTATAGTCCAAATACCTAAACATTCTGATATCAAGAAGCATTTTTAGACAAATAATAAAACTATTGTTTTGTTTTTAGACAAAAGACATAATTGAGTGAGTTTTTACTTAAAATAAGAAAAACAATCTTGTTTATGGTTTAAAGTGCACCAATTAAAGACCTTTTCTGAGCCTTAATTTTGTGTAAAGGCTGTGAAAACAAATGGGTTTCAATTAGTATTTTTAAGTATTAAATGCAATATAATAGCAAGTC